AAGACATGTAAGCTAGAAAGGCCACTGTCGAAGAAGAAACTCTACTCGGTTTTGAGAAGGGAAACAGTGAAGCCCTTGATGAAGTTACTACCACTGATGTGACCATTACCGATTATAGGACAATTCCCTAACGGAGCAGATGAATCTCACGTGAAGCAGAAGCCAGTACGGAAGAAGATACGTCCCGTAAAATTAAGAGACTTTGTTGAATTTTAATTTTGTGTTTGTAGTGTTTGTAAATTCTGTACATTTGATTAAGTTATTGTTAATTGTTTATTGGTTTAATGTAAGTGGCTATTGTTCGGGACGAACAATACTGAGGAAGGGGCAGTGTTACGCTGGTAACACGTCATGATATTCTAGAAGATTCACGAAGAAAGGAGATGTACGCTTTTTGTATATATAAGACCGGTAAGAAGTGACGGCAACAATGTAATTGAATTGCAGACAGAAATAGAGACGGACAATTGAGTCAAGCGCGTGAATCGTTCGTTGTGAATTATAGCGTTTGTTTAAGTTATAGCGTGACTGTGGAAATTAAGTGAATTTCAAAGTTGTATTGAGAAAGAATAAACTAGTTTTATTTAAGAAAGGGCTTGTATCGCTAAAGTTCCTTCGGAAAGAATTTTTACGGAAAATTAACAAACGATCAGAGGCGTAACAATATAATCAAACCCTCACGCACAGTCCCAGTAAAAGTCGTGTTCTTGTTGTGAAGAGAACACTTTTATTTAAAATTGTTATATATTATAAAGAAATGGTTGTTGCAGATTCCACAGTTATTTTTCTAACTGTCTGAATATTGTGCGACATGACCAGGTGGTTAGGGCGAAACGAACAAACTGTCTGAATCTTTAAGACTCAAAGTGTGACATTTTTATGAAATTTTATTTGTGGTGTCATTCAATAAACGGTGCAGGAGTTTTGGTTACATACATAGATACTGACATAAATGCTACGCCCATTATGGTAAGATGAGAATCAGTCAGCATTGAGTCAGTTACAATTCAGTGAGTAGTGAATGAGAATTCAGAGAAGTTTGTGAGTGATCATGTATATTCAGTTTTTGTAGTCTATTAAGCTACCAAATCTCACTGTGTTAGGCGTACGACTCGAAATTTATATTGAAACGTTGCAAGGACAGTGGTAAGAGAGACTTTATGGGCCTGAAACAACCCCAAAATGTGCTTTAGCCTTCTCTGCAGTCTTGCGCCTTACTGTTAAATTGGTTCTCCTCATAAATACTGCAGTATGTGCACTCATAAGATATGTTTGTTTTGTCAGTAGAATTGCACACAGAAGTATTCAAGGGATGTCTGCGCTATCTCTTTTTAATTTAGTAATGATAGATTAGAGAGAAGGCAGCTATCAAAACCACCCATCACCAACTCTTCGGTTACTCATTACCGACTAATAGTTGGGTCGACCTTTACTTTATAATGTCCTCCCGGCTGAAAGGACGAGCGTATTTGGTGACGGGATTCGAATTTGCAACGCGTGGATTGCGAGTTGAGTGTCCTAACTACCCGATCCTGCACCCATAAAATCTAGAGCTCAGCCCCCAATTTTTGGTTGAGTCTGCCTTAACCCCTTCACCAGGAAGATACTAGCACTACCCCGAAACATTGTATTTGAACTTATGACAACAACTTGTGTTAGCATAAACATATTTTGTTTAAACGTTATAGTAGAAATAAATTAGTTCGTTATCGTTACCCGGACTTCATTTCGTATTATTTCCATCAAATAATACAAAAGAACCTGCCGAACGATACAATTGATAACACGACAATACAGATGACCTCGCACTTCTGCTCTTGAAAACCGACCTTACAAAGTCAACATTTATGTTTTATCTAACAATACATTAAAATAATGAGATTTTCAGTGCCCATAAGTTAATTCGAGAAATTTGTATACATTATTGGTTTCTAAAGTTAACTTGTGTATTTACTTTGAGTATTATTTATTGCAAGCAATTATTCTGCAACTCGGAAAACTTTTTAACATAAAAAATAGTTTTAAAGCCATTTATAATTTTTAATGTGTTTTCGGTTACCAGAACATACGTGGGGATTGTCTTTTTTATATGCTTTGCTTTTATATGTTCTACTTTTAAAACTTCGAGTTTTATGTTAGTGTAGAGGTCACTGAAGTACCTCTGTAGTCTAAAACGTGCCAGAAGAGTAGGTAACTAAGGAAACAGACTAAAATTATTTTATTTCGTCATGGAATTCATTCCCTTAACCAAGAAAAATCATAAGAGAAAATCATTAGAAGAAAATACAAATGAATCGCATAAACGGAAAAAGAAAACAAGATATCAGCGTTTAAATTTTGTTTGGGATCCACGATTGATTCCTCGTGTTAAACAGGTGTTATTAAATGTTCTTATTTGCATTTAGTATGTCCTAAGCTTAGTAGTACCAATACTTTAGTAGCCGTAGGCCTAGTGTAATACTGCTAGTATTACTATTGATAGAACTATTAACGTTAGTTGAGATATTAATTTTCCCAAAATATTATTTTCACAACATTTTCCAACAATTAAGAAACGCTCTGCGATTTTTTCTTTTGTATTAAAAATGTGGATTTTTGTTGAATATTTAATACTCAGTATCCTAAAATATTGCTCCAATTTACAAATTAAAGATTATAATATCAATTGAATAATGTCATTCATAAGTGTTAGACAGCCATAACTTTTTTATTGAGCATTTTATTTCTTTTGTTATTCAAGAGTTTGTATTGCAATTTTTTAACATTTCAGAAAAAATTTTAAAAACAATAAATGGTTTAACAGTCGTTTGCCACTGTCCACAAATCAGTCAATTTGTGTTGTCTATGTACTGTAAGCAAGTGCAACTTTTTAATTGCTAATTCAGTTCAGCAACACTTTATTTCTATTGATTTTAACTTGTTCTAGCCTTGCCAGTGCTGACAGTTGCACATGTCAGATTTCACAGATTTTGCTATTCCTTCTCAATCCTTTTTCACTTTTACCACTGCTTCTTGCTTTGGATGTACTTTCAGACCATCGTGAAAGGGCATTTTTTATTGTATTACTGAATGTCACCCAGTTGTATTCACAAGCAACTAATGTAGGTGGAAAGCTTAACATTTACATAGTAATTTTACATAATTACTGATGGTATAAAATATTTTCCCTCATGTTGAAGATGCATTAGTGTAAACTAATATCCACAGAGCTACTCTGCTCTGTATTTAGTGCCCAGCTCTATATTTATTCAAGTAGCACTTAACAAGCACTGGGTGCTATCTTTATGATCCTTTCTGTTATTTCAATCTGATCATCTTTCTATTTTACCACTGTACTTGGGGTCCAACACATAGACTACTAGTTGGAAAGGATAGAAGCAAAAGTTCTAGAAGCTAAAAAATGTTCATCATCTGCTCTCATCTAATTTAAAATAAAGACCACATCAACTTTGGTTTATGACTTTGCTACTTCAAGGTTTGTGATAGCTTAAGAGATTGATTGCAAAGGCTTTACATTCTTCTCACTTTCACTCAGAAAATTTCATCATCAAGTATGGTATTACAGATGTTGGTGGAGATGACAATTCTAATTTGTGGGTCTACCATGGCTGCTTGCAAATGCTTCTTGGTTTTAACTGCATTTTCAAGACACTTGGTAACTGATTCCCATCAGTTATTCTTTGGGTGAAGAAGAGAAATATCATGTTTCCCTTTCTTAACTTAATATGCTTGAGCCTGTTTTATGTGGAATATGTTTCTTTCAGCAGAACTTTATAATCTACGCGATTGTTTTTGTAAGTCTGCTCAAAGACCTGTTTTTGTAGATGACCTTATTAAATAGATTCCAGGCATGAACTAGAAAGCCATTTACATGCCTGATCTGTAACTAAAGCATAGACCTTCTCTGGTCCAGTGGTGTTCATAGAATCACTGAACATTATAGCCATACACTTATCCAGTGTGAGATTTAGTTTTTGATTCAATGTCCTTGAGAAAAACTAGTTCAAAATGTGCAAATAATAAGTTAGTTAAAGGATTTTTTCTTCACTTCCAACCATCTATTTAACATCATTGTCAGACATTTGATAATTTATACACCTTATCAAAGAGGGAATTTGAAAGATGGAATTGTGAAGAAATTACAAAAGCTGACCTTAGTTTATAAAAATCTTCTTATATGATATGTCTTCAGTGAAACTGAGTGGTGTGCATCTTCATTGCATAGTTCTTGAAATATGTCTTTTGTTTTCCTTCTGTCCCTTGGGTGATTTTATTTTTCATCAGAGAAGTTCAAATTGTTCTTAGCAGTCATCTGTATTAGATATTGAATAGAACAACAATTTGTCCACTTTCAGCTTACTTTTCATCCTCATGTTCTCAAAAAGAAAAAAAGTAAAACAAAATTGTAATTCAGTCATGGTAGTAATTGATGTTTAGTATTCAGTCAGACTTGTATACACATTCATTATTATCCTTTCTTTATTTTATGCAATAAAATATTTTTATTCTGATGATATCAGAAACTTTATACGAGATAAAACTAGTGGTCTGTCTAAATAATGCAGTATTATTTGTATAATACTTAAGTATTATTTGTATTGATTTACAATGTACAAGTTGTATTAGTATGTTAACAAAAATGCATTAATATTTGAAAATTCAATTACGGCAACTTGTTCACAAGGTGCCATAATTAAATCTTCATAAAGCCTAATAATGGAGTGTTTGGTGAAATATCTATTATGACAGCAGAGTACCATATTTTTTTGGAATATAAGATGCACCGGTGTATAAGACGCACCCTTATTTTGAAGACAAAGTTTTGGGGGAAAAAAAGCTACAGTTGCAGTTGAAAGATTTTTATTGAACAAAAATTCAATTTGATACTTTAAAAATTAGTGTATATTGTTC